TCATAACATTTATGTGGTATATGCTTCTTTAGTCGATCCATTTTTTTATTTCTTTGCATCACTGTCCTGGTGGCAATACGGATCACTCTGTATAACCTATTGATATTTCGTTCAAATCATCTATTAGACTGGATCCTTCTGTTCATAAGAACTCTTTCCGTTACCAGCATGCTTCGTGACTTTATAAAGACGTTCTTTGGAATGATATCTTTAAAATTCCTACTGAGAATTGTGCCAGTGGGGGGTATTCTTGTCTCAAAGCTGGCATAGATGCTTTTATTTCTTTTCGGAATAACTAGGTGAAAACCCCTGCCTTCACAATGGTTCTCACCAGCATGTTTATCCGCTATAACCAATAGGAACATTATTTTCGGCGATACCAGCGTGCCATTTCTAATCCTAACAACGCTTTTCATACCCCGATATAATAAATGTGAACGAGTCCGCGAAGGATTTAAGTTTTTGTATGCTGAAAGAATAATGCACCGTATTGCATTTATCATCTTTGTCACTCGTAACTACTGGCGGTTCTGTGTATTAAATAAGATTAAGTTTTCTGTTTGTTATGCCATATTACCTATTCTATTGTAATGGACTCTCCCACAGATAATAAGTAATAATTAGTAGTAGCAGTCGCCAGTTCGGCTCAGTGGTGTTAAGCGAGTCAGTCGATATCGGACAGTGAAGTACCAACCATCACAACTAGATTGCTGCGTCATTAACTCTTATTTCTAAGTGCCTAACGTTTTGTACGTCGAACCTAACTTATAGAAATACAAGCCTCCACTGTGAAAACTACTTCGCAACACTATTTCTCCTCTCTTCAATCCATTTGCGTCGTTAAAATCTGATGATAAAGCAGAATGTTTTGTCCATAAATTCTATTTAAAGTCGACTCTCAGACTAGCAATATGGCTTGAGTTTCTTCAGGTGAGCTGCTGGTATATTAACGGAAATTATTGCGGAAAAAGAGTCTATCAAGTTTAGAGCTTTAGATAAAAATGGTGAAGTTCGGGCTGTTGCTTTAGACATCTTTAAAACGTTTAACAGGGATCGGAATACCTGTCTCCTTCACAAGTTGAAAAGTTACGGTGTCATCGGCCGAATTGTTAAACGGATTCTTCTCAAATTGTAAAATGAAAGTTATCCTGAATTGCCATTCTTCTTGACGGCTTTGTACAAATACATTTTTCCCCTAAGCCGCTATCCTTGGTCGTATTTGGTTTTTAATTTTCATTAACGAACGACCTGAAAACATCAGATATCTATTTGGTATCAATGCAAATGACACAAGCATTTACTTCTGTTTTGATTGCACGTCTTCTGATAAGTTCACATTGCCGGCTGATGTCAAAAACGATCTCCAGTCTGTTGCTAACAGGGGAAGAAATGGATTGTTAATTTTAACGCCTCTAAAACAAAACTGCTCTCTATTAATCATCTGAGAGACCTCTTGCTGCTAACTTACAGGAGAGCAACCCGTTGCGGCTTCTCGGGTTAACGTCCTCGGCTGACATGAAAAGGACCGATTATATTGAATGCGTTGCTAACAGCTCTCAACTTCGTATCTATGATGATGACACAACCATGTACTCCTGTCTTGATAGCAAGTTTGATCAATTCGCTAAGGTCATATTGACTGCTGATGTCAAGAAACGACCTTCAGTCTGTTGTTATCAGGGGAAAGAAATGGCTTGTTAATTTTAACCCTTCCAAAACAAAACTACTCTCTATTAATCATCTGAAAGTTAGCAGAAAAGACCTCTGCTAACTTTCAGGAGAGCAACTCATTATGGTTTTTCGGGTTAACATTCTCGGCTGACATGAAGTGGAAATATTATATTGAATCCATTGCTAACTCAGCTCTCAACATCTTATTTATGCTGATGACACAACCATTTATTTCTGTCTTGATAGTAAATCTGATCAGTCTGATATGGTCAAATTGGCGCCTGATGTCAAAAAACGACCTTCCATCTGTAGTTAACAGGGGCAAAGAATAGCTTGTTAACTTTAACGACTCCAAAACAAAACTGCTCTCTATTAATCATCCCAGAGAGTCTTTTCTGTCTTTCATCAGTATGGCCAGTACTGATCTCAAGGAGTAGTTTTCTGATACATTGACTTTTTCTGATTGTCGAAGGATTTTTTTCTATAGCGACAAGTTTGTTAAAACATCTTCAAACCGAACTTGACGCGTCTTGGGTAGGACGATTAACTACATTCACATCCTGGGTAAGGCGATAAATTACGTCCAAAAACAAGTCCTCTGATCGGGAGGTTTCTAGACGCGTAGAACCACCTCTTAATTGCTGGTGTTCCCATGTTGACACTGACTCGAGATATCGCTACCTGCTAGGGGCCCAGCTATGAAAAAATAGTTAATTTCCAAACCCGCCTGCTTCCTGTGTAAGTCGATAAATTACATCCGGCGTCCCGAGTAAGAGGATAAACTACATCCAACAGAAAGGCCTCTGAGCTGGTTTTGAGGAGCGTGGAACCACCACTTAATTGCAGGTGTCCCCGGGTCCACCCAGACCCGGGGTGGTAGAACCTGTCACAATCCAAACTATGGGCAAATAGTTAACCCCTAAACTGAGGTCAAAACACGATGAAAGTGTAAATATAGGTTTTAGTGCCAGCAATATATTTTTGAGAAAATATTATTATGGGTAATACATTTTTGAAGAAAATAAATATTATCAGCAATAGATATTTGAAAGTAAAAATATTACCAGCAATAAAAAATCTTGTCGGTATTAAATAACCCATTGAGGTTGATATGCTGTAAAACAAAACAAACCAAACTAAAATAAAATTTAAAGAATAAATGTTGCGCTTAATACAATATGACTTCATGAAGGATTTCCACGAAATTCCTTATGGTTTCCCTTACAAGTTCATTTTCAATGCATTTCAATTTCAGGAACTACCATTTATCTAAAAGCGCAATTCCACAGACTGCCTTTTGGATGACCCAGTCATTTCAGAAAACAACGTTCTTTTGGAAGGTTTCTGTATAGGCATCTTGAAAGCTATGTCCGGGCTCTTAAAATTTCTGAATACCATTTATTTGGCCCCAGATGGAAAGTTTGGCAGCAAGAAAAAACACAGATGGACTGGAATGATTCGCGAAATTATAAATTTACCTTTGTGTCGAATATTAACACATTTTGTTGATTGACGTTGCAATGCATGGCTCACGTTAGACTACAGGATTGCAAAAAATCTACGCCTTTTTGGCTACACGTTTTCCTCTGACATGATCAGGGGTTGCGCACCAATGAAATGAGTTGCTTGTTGCTTGACCAAATTCAATATTTACCAACCATTTTGCCATATCGTTCCCTTTCCACGTTTGTATTTAGGTTCGGTATGATATGGAAAATTTGTTGTTACATTATTTGCAAGAAAAACTGAGAGAAAGACAATTCTAAATCAAAGCCATAACAATTGCCAATGATCCCTGACTGTCAGCAATGAGGGTAGAAAGCAAAAAGCAATCAAATCCCCAAAGTATGGCAGACTGAAATATTAAGCCAGACTGTTTCAGTGAGGAAGGGAACAAAGAAACAATCAAATCCCTTGTGTTATCTCAGTGCAATAATTAAATGAAACAGCGCTTATTTTAATTTAAATTTAAATTGCACTTAATTATTTTTTTTTATCCAAAAGTTTAAAATAATAATTGTTTACCGTAAATTCATTAAATTGAAACGCTTTCTGTAGGAAAATATCAGCCAAAATTAATGAAACGATAACTGATAAACGAGGGAGAAATCATTATTTACATTATTCGGACTATTGTCCACATCTTTGTCGTCATATTCATTACAACGTTTCGCCCTTGTACGCTCCGGCCTTCTTCAGGTCGTTGGAATATCGAACTGAACCCTTTATTTCGCTCACTGGGGTAGACTGTTCTAGTTCAACGTGCCATGTTTAATGGATGTCAGTTATCAGTTATATCCTCTTAATTTCCATCTGAAATTCTCCACTACCTTAGCCGGGTATTGAACTCACACTCTTTGGGTCCTATCACTAGATCTAACTAACGCCTAAAGATGAGGACAATAGTCCGAATAATGTAAATAATGTACATAATACCTCATCTCAGAAATATAGAGAAGATACTGAAGGTGGAATCATCTGATAGACATTAAGCGTCTTGTCAAATGATAGGTAAAATTTTTTTTTTAAGTCTGTCTATATTTCTGAGATGAGGTATTATGTACAGTATTTACATTAGTCGGACTATTGTCCTCATCTTTGTCGCCATATTTGTCACAACGTTTCGGCCGTTGTACGCTACGGCCTTCTTCAGGTGGTTGGAATTTCGAACTGAACCCTTTATTTCGATCACTGGGGTAGACTGTTCTAGTTCCACGTGCCATGTTTGATGGATGTCAGTTATCAGTTATCTCCTGCTAATTTTCCCTCTGAAAGTTCTCCACTGCCTTAACCAGGTATTGAACTCACCTTCTTTGGGTCTGTCACTGGATCTAACCAACCAATTTTTTAACTTTTTAATGTGATTCAAGTCTTTACCTGCAATTTTTTCTTATCTAATAATGTTAGTAACAATTGTTGCTATTACTGGAAATCATGTCAATTTTGTTTTCTTACGAATGCTGAGTGTCATAATATTTTTTAAAAAGTCGGACTGGATCAAACGTGTAACATTGAAAGAATACGAACATGATTATCTTTAGAACAATGCAAACTGGAAATGTGTCAACAGTAATTAACGTGAATGCGCAAGAACATGTGATGTGACAATGCAACATTGTTATTGACAGAGTAAATGTTTCTTTTTATGGCTATGGTTAACGATCTAGATTGAACTGGTACACATATCCGTTATAATAGAGCAGATGTCGGAGAGATAATTTTTTATGGCGGTTGAGACTAAGTAGCGGTTAGAGAAATGTATAAAATTCAAAACTTGAATCAGAAAAAAAGATTCATTTGAAATCTGAAAGAGAAAAGTAGCAAGAATTATGAAAATAAACTGTTTCTCCCTCACTCAGGTACCTATTAATCTATCTATCCTCATCGTTCTATTCGTATCTATCTATCTAGCTAGCTAGCTACGTCTAATCATATATAACTTCCTATCGACCTCAGTCTATTGATATCTATCTATCTATCTATCTATCTATCTATCTATCTATCTATCTATCTATCTATGTCTCTCAATATACCAGTCTAATCATATATAACTTTCTATCTATCTCAGTCTATTCATATCTATCTATCTATCTATCTATGTATCTATGTATCTATGTATGTATGTATGTATGTATCTATCTATCTATCTATCTATCTATCTATCTATCTATCTATCTATCTATCTACGTCTCTCAATATACCAGTCTAATCATATATATCTTTCTATCTACCTCAGTCTATTCATATCTATCTATCTACGTCGATCAATATATCCCAGTTTAATCATATATAACTTCCTATCTACCTCAGTCTATTCATATCTATCTATCTATCTATCTATCTATCTATCTGAGTCTGTGCATGATTATCTATCTATCTGAGTCTGTTCATATCTATCTATCTATCTATCTATCTATCTATCTATCTATGTCTATACATTTTTTTCTTTTAATTGTCACAGTTCATTTTTATAAATAAAAAAGAATATTTAAAGTTATGTATAAATAAATAATAATGTTTGCCCCTTTTGATATTTATTTACTTCCTATCCTAATAGAATATTTCAGTCAGATTTTAGAATTCTAGAAACCAATTGTGATCTTCATGGCAAATCTGTTTTATTCTTTCAATTTTGATATATGGACGCTACACATAACTATCTTCATTTTTGCTTCATCTGGCTTCGTGAAGAATTGAGTTCCCTTGGCAAATACAAAGAAAACCGTAGCATGAAGACAGCTCAAATAAAATCGCCTTTTAGTTTAGCTTCAATGAATCAAGAATCCATCGAAACAACATGCCGTTTTGTACTTTCTCGCTCTGTGATGTCTGTCGAGAAAGTAATTTTCTTGTGGACAGTTTTATCTGCGTTCTCGCCTCATATGTACAGTTGGAATCCAATCGCCAATGACTGTCTTCCTCCGGCGTGTCCATCGGAACTGACCGCTTATCACTTCTTTATTACCTATTTAAACTGTGTCCACATCGAGCCTGGCTTCGTTCTATTTAATAGACCGGAGACCAAAGTCAGAAAAAATCCGGATGTTATCTCCGCCCAGATTTGCAGTTGTCTGTGATTATTCGCTCGTTGGTAGGGAAGAAAATGAAAAGAAGATTCGTTGCTTGTAGGTTAGGGTGGTTTTCAGGCGGGAATCAGTAAGTACACAATGAAATCTGTAGGTAAATAAGTGGTGAATGGTTCATTGTATTTGCCATCTCCACGCACACATACACGCACAAACGCGCGCGCATACACACACGCGTATCTGTGTGCAAATACAATCAGCCATGTATATATGTGTGTGTATATATATATATATATATATATATATATATATATATATATATATATATATATATATATATATATATATATATATATATAGGATTAAAGTCAGTAAAATTTGTCACATAGCTGTTTGATATTAGCTTCAGCATACTGACTAGATTTTCGCACACGGACCTGTCCCTCCACACTTTAGTGGATATCAAAGGAAATATATATATATATATATATATATATATATATATATATATATATATATATAATGTGTGTGTGTATATATATTGGAAGAAAAGGAAAGCCAATGCTAGAAAAATTAATTGAATTCTGAAACAAAAAAAGGTGTATCATCCTCAAACTTTTAGAAATAATTAAATTTTTCTTTTTAACTTATTGCCACCAAGCTAGCAACAATATACGCAGATTGTTACTGAATGTGAAACCATATGAGAAAGAAAACGACGATGTTAAAGCGATTGATTGATTAGATTCTACGGCTTATCAAAGTTTTGCAGGTTATTTAAAGTCAGATATATATTTTTAGATTGTAAGAATGTTTTGGGAGATAATAATGATTTACTAATACAAGTCATAGTATTTAACCCATAGCTGGGGGATAGGACATGTGTCCATCCCTTTCGCAATGGTATTTTCCTGTAAGTGAATATAATGAACACAACTGGAATTGCTACTCGTCGCTCCGATCTTGAATTCCGAGGCTTTACCCATTAAACCACCAGCACGCCCAGGCTATCACCCACCTTGCTACTGACCAGGCTCGACGTTACTTAACTTTGTTAACCTATGTTTCTACGTGATATGACTGTAATCCACTATTAATTAGATTGAATATTTAATCGCTAGCTCATCCACGTTGAAATTGCGTCGATGTTACAATATTTCATATGAAATGTAAGAACCTGGACGCAAATTTTGTTAATATCCCACATTAAAATCAACAAGGATGAAAAGATAAAAAAAAGCCTAACTAAAGGGTTCCATCATCTTCAGTACTCCCCTCCTGTAATTAATTATAAACAACATTCTAGTTTATGTCTCCGTGTACCTCAAACACATATAATTTCATCAATAAGAATATGTTGTCCGGTGAAGCCATTTTAGAGGACAAAGCATGTTAGACATATTTCTTCAATTTATCTACGTGGTGGCCACTAAAAAAGCGGTAAATTCTCCGTGTACCTCAGACACATATAATTTCATCAATAAGAATATGTTGTCCGGTGAAGCCATTTAAGAGGACAAAACATGTTACACATATTTCTTCACTTTATCTACGTGGCAGCCAGTAAAAAGAAGTAAATTCAGAAAGAAATTTATTTAGCTATCATGATTTATGCACAAACTGAACAATCATCGTAGATGTTCGAAATATTTGCCGGAATGTTGAACATAAATCTGCCATCGTGGTAACCAGGAAGCAGTAGCTTTGCGGATAGTGTCAAGGAGAATTTCATTCCAACTTGCAGTTAAGTTCCACTTCAATAAATCAATATCGACGATGTCATGACGACGGTTTTGCAAGTGAGTGAGGAGTAGACTCCAATTACAATAATCCATAACATAGGGATGTGAGCTTTTATAGGGCCACTGAGATGGACCAATTAGATATTTTCTATTTTCTCCAAGAAGAAGTTTTCCGTTTTTTTTTAACTAGGAACCCTCTACATTGAAAGAAAAAAACAAAAACAAAACAGCCTAAAAAGTACTCAAGGTCTTAAGAACAACGAAAAATAAAACCAAATGAGTCGACTGTGTTTTCTCGAAGATTTTCTTAATAGTAATTTGGAAACTATTCTTTAAAAAAACTCATCCTTAGACAAGTACTAAACCTGTCTTTACTTTCTAAGAATTTCAAATTCATATGAATTTCATTTTGTTGTGTTTAATTTATATATGCTAATGTTTTTATTCTGTACTTCGTTAATGGTGTGTAATACAACGATTATAGAATGTCCAGGGCTCACAAAAAAGTGCTACCAATGGAATAATGAAATTTCTATGAATTGTCTCAAAACCCGTTTTTAGACGTATCCACTCTTTTTAACAGCTTGATTTTCACCCTGGATATTCTCTTGTACTAGGGAAATACAGTAGACTAGTTTTTCCCAACACGATTTCCGCGGAACACTAGGATTCTGCAAGAGATCCGTAGAGGTTCTGTGGGAAATGCTGATAAACAGGCTGATCCATTTTTAGTAGTTTCGTTTAATTTTATAATCGTCATTTTACTATACCCTTTATTGTACAGTAATTGGTTATGGTTAACTGTAAATAACTGGCCCAAATGTGCAACAGATTTGACAAAGTTTAAAGAAAAACAACCAGAAAAACAAAAAAAATAAAAAGGGTAAAAATATTTTAAAGCAAGCAAACAATATTTTTTTATTTAAGTTCCTTAATATTTTTGGAGCGGGTTGCCGTTGATAAACAAATGATTTCAAATTGACCCACAATGCAAATTAACAGTAACAAAGCAAAGCAACAGTAATAGTTTAAAATCTTTTGCAAACTAGGAACTGGGATTGGCACACAAGCGTAGATTCGTATACGCAAACGTAACATTTTGACTTCAAGGTAAGACAGACCAGGACTGAGTCATATGAAAGCAAGAACCGGCCTATTTTTGGCTAGAAAAAAAAACATCATTTGTGTGCGCCTGTGGAGAGGAAAGTGTTTTCTAGTCATTCCTAGTGTAGATTGGAACCAACGTACGGTAAATTTTTGGAAAGCCATTGGTTATTATGATAAAGTCTTCAACCACTTACATTATTTAAAACTATAATAATAGGGAATGTATTTAGCGATGTCAATATGGCGTCACTATGAAACCACATTCTCTGGTTCGTGGACAGAAACTGTATCATGTATCATTGAGGAACTCACTCGAATAACAAGACGCATGCGCAATATCCATATATTATATTTACCACGTGAAATACGATAAAAAAATAAAAGACATAGATATTAATAATGATATACAAGGTGAGGCAAATGTCGCGTACCAGAGTTTAAAATGTCTAATTTGTTTTGATAGGTCCAGCTGAGTGGCCACCGAGGTCATGACACTTTGATTTACTTTTTCTGTGGGGCCATTTCAAATCAGTTGTTTATCAGACGGGACCCCAAAATATTGAGTAAGTGAAAGAAAGAATTAAATATGAATGCAGTAAAATGAGAGAGGAAGTTCTCCGGCGCGTTAATGAATCAGACAGCAACAGAATTGAAATGTGTCTTGAAAAAGAAGGAGAACATCTTGGTTTGGTTTGGTTTGATTTGTTTTACGGCATATCAACCTCAATGGGTTAATATGTTTTTCTTCCAAAATCTATTTCTGGGAATATTTTTCGTTGAAGAAACCGATAGCTGGTAAATTTTTTTTCAAAGTATATATAGTTGTTTGTATTGCTACAGCCTTTTTTGTAAAGTATTGCTGATAATAATTTTTCCTTCAAAAATTATTGCTGGTAATATTTTTCTTATTAAAATTATTTCTGGGATTAATCCCTATTTTTACACAAGTTTGGGTGTCAACTATTTGCCCATAGATTAGACACTAACAGGTGCTACCACCCCGGGTCAGGGTGGAACTGGGGAAGCCAACAATTAAGAGGTGGTTCCACGCTCCTCAAAACTTCCTAATCAGAGGCCTTGCTGTTGGACGTAGATTATCGTTTCACCCAGGATGCGGATGTAGTTTATCGTCTTACCGAGGACGCGGATGTAGTCAATCGTCATACCCAGGACGCGGATGTAGTTTATCGTCATATCCAGGACGGGGATGACATCTTGAACAGCACATGTTACAATTGAATAACTAGTAAGAAAAATATTCATGTGTAAGTATACCTTTAATAAATTTGCATATTATTATGACTTTATCATCTCAGATTTTTATTGGCCAAATAATTTTGCATTGTTTTTTTCAGCTTCAAGCTGCTTAGAGCGGTGTTACTTCCTTTTAAACTACACCTAGGAAAATGCAAAATAAAAATAATGGTGTATAAGAATTCTATGCAACTTCCATGAAACTTTTGCACATCAATACAGATAAAACTCGTCTGAAGACTGCTTGAAGCGCGAAACTGATACTACTCATGCAGTCTAGATATCTTTATATATATATCTATATATATATATATATATATATATATATATATATATATATATATATGTATGTATATATATGGAGAGAGACAGAGAGAGATAAATATAGATATATAGATATATATATATATAGATATATACATATAGATATACTTCAACGTGTGCGCGCATTTATGTGTTAGATTGTCAATTTATTGCCCTTTGTCAGGTTTTTTTCTCATCCTAGTGGATGGATAACCATCTTTTTCACCAAAAAAAAAATCATGGTAGGAGAACGGGTTCAATATATATATATATATATATATATATATATATATATAGATAGATAGATAGATAGATAGATAAAGATAAGAGAGAGAGAGAGAGAAGAGAGAGAGAGAAATATATATATATGTATAGATATAGATATATACATATATTTTAACGTCTGCGTCCATTTATGTGCTAGATTGTCAATTTATCGCCCTTTGTCAAATTGTGTTTCTCATCCTAGTTGATGTATAGCCATCATTGACACCAAAAAAGCATAGTTGGAGAACGGGTTCAATATATATATATATATATATATACGCACACACAAAGTGAGGCGCACATCATAGGGGTTAATGGATAGATCGAAGTGGTTATGTTGAGTGTGACCACCAAGGTCATCAGACCCCATACCCTTGG